ACATACCTGAGGCAGTGACAGTCCAGCTTTGGAACAGTGGAAGCCCTAGTTTCAAATTCAGGCATGCTTTGAGTAGAAATTAAATTTACCTCTTTAGCACAGCAACATGGCCAATCTTTCCTAAGCTGCTCAGCTTACAAAAAAAGGAATCGTCCTGCTAGGAATTCAAACTTCAGCAGTCATGAGTAAGTAAGGAAGTCTTATAAATCTATTCTAGCCACCTAACAAGAAACCAGAAATTTAGCAAGTTCTTTCACTTTCAGGACAGTTGTGTTCACTAGATCAGAGGCATTGAGACAAGAAGAACAGACGCCTAAAAAGGGGAAGTGTTCCTTGCAGTTTTAGGACATCACTGGAACATTAGGGAAGTGGGAACACAGCTGCCTGCTCTACAGTGTGGGTTGCCTTTGTGTCTGGAATGTGTCTGACGTCCTGATCCCTGTGCCCATTTCAGGGAGCCTTGGGAGGAGCCCAAATCACTGATGGAATTGGACAGTGCTGAGGAGATGGCTCAGCAGGACGAGGGTAAGTGCAGGGCAAGTCCAGGTCATACTGAGAGACAATGAGTGGCGCTGATGGGGACAGGCAAAGATAAAATCAAAAGTTTGTGCTTCATCTTCAAAAACTCAAACTAATAACAAATTTGGCCTTATGAGAAATAATAAGTATTTTTCTATTTATATGAGAATATAATCTCAAAACAGAAATCAGAAAAATATTAAGTCCAGGACATGAAACCTAAACCATTGCTCATATTTATTCTTTCTAAATAGAGCAAAGTGTAAAATCTTCTCCATAAAATGTACATTGTGGTTATAAAAAGCAAATGTCTTAGAATCATTGGTATTCCTTAGAAGAGTGAATTAAACACAGCCAAGGGAAGACCCAAGTCTCATACTTCTCTTGCATATTCCAAAGTTCCAGGGAAATTCCAGGTGATAGAGGTTATTTCCCATACTGTTAAAGCAAGGTTGCAGACACTTGGGAATTTTGGTCCCAGTACTCTAGGAGGGCACACCTCTGTCCTGGAAAATAATTCAGGAATGAATTCTCTTCCTGTGACTCATTCTGCTCATTCTTCCAGCATCACAAAAACCAAAAAATGGAAATATGGCCAAATACATGGTTTGCTATCCCTCTTCTTCAGGTTTCTTACCTGTTACTTATGGATAATAGCATTACCTTAAGGATTATGATGAAGATACAATGTCCAAATATGAGCACAGTTTTGAACAAAATGCCTTGTACAAATTGGTCAATGAATAATTACTAAATAATTATGTGAATATTTACTGAATTATATGGATCCTATGAATAATTACTGAATAATTATTGTGATTGCTTTTATTGGCAGTGCTGAAAACTCATCCCTGTGTGACCTCGAGTAAGCCATGTAACTTTGTGAACCTGCAGTTTTATCATTTAGAAACTTGAAAGATTTCATTCTGACACAGAATGTCAGGTCTCCCAGACCCCAGAACATACAGTGACTTAAAGCCTTTGATACATCTCAAAGCAATATCCTTACAGTGTCATTGGAGGATGGTGTGGGCTGCAGAGACGGATGCTTTCAAATGGGATTGATCCAGTCCTCCTTCCTTCACTTCCACATGAATGCTGGGCAGCCCAGGGTCACACCCACTGCACCCTCAACTCAGGCAAGTCCACCAGCCAATCTTAGGAGACCTGGGCTACAGGACAGTCTCCCAAGTTCCAGGCTCACAAAACCTAGGTGGGAGTGAAAGCTGAGAAAGTGATTAGGTGGTTCAGGGGGTCACTCTTTCCTACTCGTTCCTCTCACCTCAAACTCACCTTCTATTGCACAGCAACACTGAGGATCACCAACCAACCCTAACCAGAACCGTGATCTTGCCATGTTCTGTTAGTGGAATGCAACCAAAAATCAATGGTGGTGTTAGTCCAGCTCAACAAAATATACATCAAACCATATTCCACAAGAACTGCTCGTGGCCCTGTTCTTTTCAGTATATGGGAAAACAAAATAGCCTCAGGTTTACAAAAATTCCCAAGATAGATGGTCACACATGTTTTCAGGAGATCTCTATATAAATTATTGTGATCACTTGATACCTTGAAAAGAGGTCTTGTGGCACTAGAATGACATCCATAAGTGACAAATATAAAATGTAGTGCTCAGTGACATTAAAAACCAAATCAACCCACATAGAAGAAGAGCTTTGGACGTAGGGATGCCAAACTGGTCTAGAGTGTAGTGAAAACCCAAGATGGTGCCCCACTGAGAAAAAGAAATCAACATAACAATGGGATGCAGCAAGAAGAATACTGAGAAAGAAAAGAAAACATTTTTTTAAAATGAATTATTCATTCACTTTCTAGTGGATACAGAAAAAACTGCAGAAGACCCAGAGGATATCAGAGCAGGCTAAAAGTTTGGTATCTTACACCTGTGGAAAAGCCTTAAACTCTGCTTTAACTTAGAGCAGGTGGGGTGACTTCATGACTACCATTAAGAAAATATAACCTGTTGGGAAACTGTTTCTGCCTTGATGATTTTGTACAGACAAGAGCTAAACAGTGAGGAATATGCTTAGATGTATTGGGAAAGAGATGGGTCTGTGCCATTGTCACAAGGGTACACGAATACTGAGAGTGAATGCTGAAGGAATGATCGCCATTGGTGGTGACCTCAGGTGAGACCAGGGTGCCTGTGTTTCAGCAAAGCCTGGGCAACTGGAATGCAGGGCTCCTAAGATTCCATGACACCCCCACCTTCTAATTCTGTTATTGCAACTGCAGACAGTTACCTGGCACGCTGGCGACAATCTTCCTCACTCTTGTCAGACTCTGAGCCACTGGCAGTGCCTGCAGCTCTGAGCTCAGGCACCTTGAACCTTATTTTTGTGGTTAAGGATCCTAAAGTGTTGTGGGGAGTGATCACATTTCTCTTAACAGTAGGTTAAGAATTTCAGTTACTGACATCCCTCAGTCCTGACTAAACCTATTTGATTTCACCAATTTTTAACCCATCACGTGTTGGCGTTTCTTCTCCCCAGTCCCTGGCTCCACCTCTTCTGCCACAAACGTCAGCATGGTGGTGTCTGCCGGCCCTTAGTCCAGTGAGAAGGCAGAGATGAACATTCTAGAAATCAACGAGAAATTGTGCCCCCAGCTGGCAGAGAAGAAACAACAGTTCAGAAACATAAAAGAGAAATTTATTGTAACTCAAGTGGCCTGCTTCCTGGCCAACTGGCAGAACAAATACAGTACAATCTCTAGGCTCACCATCATGAAAGTGATGAATGATATCTATCTTCTCTTTGAGGAACTAAATGCTCTCTCCATCAAAAATAATTTCTTCCTTCCTGTACTTGTAAGAAAACAGAAATGGGTATTTTAACATTTTGTTAAAGTTGGAAGACAGAGGTACCAAAGTATTTAGTAACTTTCCTGTTTGCAGTCAGGTGGGGGTGGGACTGGAGTTCAAATCCCAGTTGTTGATTTTCTGACACAGGCACAGAACGACCTGTTTTCTCCAAGAGGCTCAATCATGTTTTCAAGAATCCTGTCTGTACCATATAAGATCCTGCAGATAAGTAACATCTAGTCTGTTGTTCTAAATGTCTGGGACTAGTGAACTTTTATTCAGTTCAAGCTTCTGTTGAGGCCCAGTGGGCAAAGCTCTGTTCTAGGGACCCTGAGGGAAAGTTGGTGATAGTACCCAGTACCCGCTCTGAGGGGCTTCAAGAGGTGTCTGCTCCTAATAGAACCTGTGGTATCTGTAAGTGACAGCATCAAGAGCAGGGAGTAGGGGCTGTGCACAGTGGCTCACTCCTGTAATCCCAGCATTTTGAGAGGCTGAGGCGGGCAGATCACGAGGTCAGGAGTTTGAGATTAGCCTGGGCAACATGGAGAAACCGCACCTCCACTAAAAATACAAAAATTAGCTGGGCGTGGTGGCAGGTGCCTGTAATCCCAGCTACTCCGGGGTCTGTGGTAGGAGAATCTTTTGAACCCGGGAGGCAGAGGTTGCAGTGAGCCAAGATCACACCATTGCACTCCAGCCCTGGGTGACGGGAAGATTCGTCAAAAAACAAATAAATAAATAAAAAAGCAGAGAGTACCCTGGTGAGAGGAAGTCCTGCTTCCTGGGGCACAGGCTCTTGTTCCTAAAGAGGAAGAAAGATCGCACCCGACAATGTGTGGAAGTAGTAGTGCAGTGGGCAGAGCAGGGACCCTGGGCCTCTATCCTGGACTCCATCCAAGTTGCTTGTCTTGTCTGTACCTCAGTTTCCTCATCTGTTCATAGGGTACTACAATAATACCTACCTCTGTAAATTGCTGCAGTGAATTACATGAGCTATTTCTTGTCAATCTCCTAGAACGTTTATTGGCACAGAGTAAACACTATCTATTAGTTCTTCATTCTACTGTTTCTAAATTAACACAAACTTTATTAGTATTTGGGCATATTTCCTTCATGGCCTTATGGTCTTATGTCTCATACTTTATGTTTCAGATATGATTCTTAAAATATTATCTGAAGATATGATTTAAAAATCAAAGATTTAAAAATCTTTGACATACTTGTCCTTGGAATTCCCAGTAAAAGGGAAACCGTCAGTCCCATAGTCCTAGGGGCCTTCCCGACTTACAAGAAATCACTGCTTCATGGCCCAGTGCAGTGTTTTAGAGGAGAGGCTGAAGGCTTGGGAAAGCGGCCCCACATTCAGACTTGGACCTCAGGGGCTGTGAGTTCTGACTCCACTTCGTTGTGGTTGAATCATCTTGTCAACTTCCTTGATGTGCCCTTGAGTTTCTCTTTCTTCATCTCTAAATTTTGGAGGATTCGACGCCAGAAAGTCGGGAGACTGAAGAGTAAAGATATGGAAATCCCTGCCTAGAGCCTGGTAGCGGGGACGGTTTTGTCCTTTGGATGGACCTGCCTCCTGCCCTGTAGGCAGTGACCACAGCAGCATGTCCAGCCTTCCACTGAGGCAGGCGTGTCTGTCTTTTCTCAGAGTATGAAGAGTGCAAAGAACTCATAAAATCTATGCTGAGGGATGAGCTGCAGTTCAAGGGGGAGAAGCTCGCAGAGCAGCTCAAGCAAGCTGAGGAGCTCAGGTGAGGGGGCCCCGTGGGGGCAGGCAGGTGGGCAGGTGTGTAAATCTCTGATGTACAGCAGCTCGGCGGGAGAAGTAAGAGCTAAGCTGGGTCAGGGAAGGGAAGGAATTGCCATGGCAGGCTCACGACACACAAATATTTATCAAACAGAGAACAAGGATAAGTTATGGGTTGCAGTTGTTTCTCAGAGCTTTGTTTTCTCTTTTTCAAACAAGTAATTGTTGAGGTGAAATTTACATAACACAAAATTAACCAAAGGAGTGGGAACCACCCAACAGCATTCAGTATACTCAAAATGGTGTGTCATCACCACCCCACTTACCCTTAGTCAGAATCACCTCCTGAGTGGCTGTGCCATCTCATTCTTTCACTCAATCAATGTTGCCTTCTCGGCCCTGTCATTCTTTTCTTCTTTCCTCTTTTCAATTCACCCCATCTGCACCCGGCCTCATTTCTGTACATGGCTTTGTATCTATCGCCGCAAGATGCACTATGCGTATTTTCACATGGAAATGTCCGTGGCCAGCGTGAGGAACTGAAAGGATGTCTTTTTGAAACGAATTAGGAAGACACCTACTTTTGTTTACAGAAGAGAAAGATGAATGGAACATCATCAAGGATCTTACAGGAGCCCTCTCTGATACAGAGGAAGCCTGTAAACCATTTTCGATTCTTTCTCTTGGCCACAGACATTCCTTTAAACATGTGCTGACCTTCTGCTTGGAGGTCTCCTCGAGGACATTGTCTCAGAAATCTCTGTTGCAATATTAGAACTGATCGCTCATCCCTTTCCACTGTTAAATATTCTCTACCCTCTCACCTTAGGCAATATAAAGTCCTGGTTCACTCTCAGGCACGAGAGCTGACCCAGTTAAGGGAGAAGTTACGGGAAGGGAGAGATGCCTCCCACTCATTGACTCAGCATCTCCAGGCCCTCCTCACTCCGGATGAGCCGGACAAGTCCCAGCGGCAGGACCTCCGAGAACAGCTGGCTGAGGAGTGTAGGCTGGCACAGCACCTTGTCCAAAAGCTCAGCCCAGGTAAGGTGGCCATTGGCCCTCATGACCCAAAACCCCAGGCTTATGAGAGACTCCAGACCTCCACACTTCCACAATGACAGTTGTATCAGTGGGGTTTTTTCACTAAACATATGTGGCCATGACATGACCAGGACTTCCTGGGTAAGAACAGAGATGGGAAGCCCATGGGGTTGGAGGTCACAGTATTGCAAATGTCCCTCCTTCCTTGATGGAAGGTGGTCTTTGGAGCAAGCATCTCTCTAGTTTTAAAGGACAGGAAGGAGGCTGTGACAGGAGGACGCTTGTTATAGTGAAAAGAACTCTGGACTAAGAATGAAGGTTCCCAGGCTGTCTCTTTGGCAATGTTCTTAGTAACTGTCAGTGAGGGAGTGATTTATCCTTCCTGAGTTTCTCTCTCTCCATCTGCAAAGGCAGCCAAATTGTCTCTTGCAAGGGTCTGAAGCATCCAAATGTGGGAACACTTACGACTGTTTTTCAGAATGAGATGAAGCCCCTCGCCGTGTGGTGTTGGAGAAGGCACTTGATGTGGGGGCATTTGGTGGTAGGAAGGGCTTCAGACTGGAGCACTCCCCACGGAGAGAATGTCCCTGAATAACACAGCAGAAGCCACGTGGAGGGCCTGTGCAGTCTCCTGATGTATAGAGGACTGTGGGACAAGTTTGTCTTCTCCTAAAAGAAAGAATTAGGTTGGAAATGCAAACTGTGACAGGACACCAAGCCCGTGCCTGGGAATCAGATCTGTGGCAGGATGGGGGAGACAGCTGCCAAAGGCTGGAGAGAGGCTGCACAAGCCTCCAGTGATATGGGGACCAAAAGGTCTTTTCAATATTTGGCCATATCTTGATGGTGGCCCTCCAGATCAGAAATGCATTGCCTGATGGATCAGGAAACGACGCCAGGGCATTTTGTTAAAGATAAAACATGAGAGCTTTCAGTTGAACGGTGACCCACACCTAGATGTTCATGTCTCTGTGCTCATTGGGCTGACTATGCTTGCAGAGTGTGAAGTGGGAAATACCTGAACGAACACTTCTGTATTTACAGAAAATGGCCAAGGTGAGGATGCAGATGTTCAAGTTGAGGAGGCTGAGAAAGTACAGGATTCGTGTGCCCCCAGGTAACACTGAATACTCAGGAGCAAGTAGTGGGTGGTAACATATGAAAAGGGTCTAGGAGGCGCACCCTCTCTGGCATCTAGGATGGGCCCAAAGCCTGCATTCCCTTGGCCACAGTATGTGAAATTCAACCCAGCTTAGACACAGGGTGTGGCAGCTGTTGTCTCTCTGTGTGCGCCGAGTGTCATGTCTGTACTGTACAGGGAGAGCTGAGTCTTCATCCTCCTCAGCTCCTGTCTTTCCAGTGCAGTGAACACCAGTTGCTCTCTTCCTCTCTGGCTCCCACGGCAGCCATGCTCTGTTGCAGAGAGAAGAGGATTGCCTGTCACTTCTTAAAGGGAACCTCCTGTTTGCTTTCTGGGGCCTCTCTCTTAATGCCTCCTGTCAAAACCAGCTAGGATTCCCTGGGGTCCAATCCCTCTGTGTGTAATTTTCTTTCTTCTCTATCCCACCTGGCTCATCAGGGAGGTGCAGAAGGCTGAAGAAAGGGAAGTCCCTGAGGACTCACTGGAGGAATGTGCCGTCACTTATTCAAATAGCCACGGCCCTTATGACTCGAACCAGCCACACAGGAATACCAAGATCACATTTGTGGAAGATGAAGTCGACTCAACTCTCATTGACTCATCCTTTCATGATGAGTGGAGGATGCTGTACATATTATCCCAGGTAGCCTCTGTTTTCCTTGTGTCTCCTACCTCTGTCTAGGTTGAGGAAGATAAACTCTGAAGACAGGCTCTATACACACAAATTGGTTTGAATAAAAAAACTGCGATGGGATTCTAAAAAGATATCAGGGAGTTTTTTTGTCCTTCTCAGCTCATGTCATGCCTTTGTCTGCCAGTTCCCAGTATGAACTTTCTGGACCCCATGCCAGTTTGACAATCTCATAGTCACCTAGTGCAGGAGGTGCACAGGAAATATCTGTCGGGCCTCCTAGCTTCGATTCAGTATCTCTTGTCATCTGCGATTAAGTCATCTGTCCCTGAACAATGTTCATGGAGTTTCTATGCCTTTTTAAGGAAGCTGGCAGCCTTGCCTTTGTATCTGGAAATATTGTTCCCTAGGCGTCACTGCTCTCAGCTTTAATCTTGATCTCCTTTTAGTCAGCTTGCTTAGCGGCACAGTCACCCTGAAATCAGGATGGAAACTTTTCTTCTTTACTTTGCTGATGTATTTCCATAAAGCAAGGCTGGACCCCGTTTCTCCACCCCATCAAGGCAATGGCTGATCTAATGTTTCTTTGTAGCATCATATACACACACACACACACACACACACACATATGTATACACACACACACACACACACACACACACAGACACATATTGTTTTGCAGTGGAGTCTTGCTCTGTCACCCAGGCTGGAGGGCAGTGGGACCATCTTGGCTTGGTGCAACCTCTGCCTCCGAGATTCAAGTGATTCTCCTGCCTCAGTCTCCTGAGTAAATGGGATCACAGGTGCACATCACCACATCTGGCTAATTTTTGTATTTTTAGTAGAGACGGGGTTTCCCCATATTGGCCAGGCTGGTCTTGAACTTATGACCTCAAATGATTCACCTGTCTTGGCCTTCCAAATCACAGATTCCTTTCAAAGCAAGAATTGTTCAAATTTATCTATCAGTCGAGTTTCATGTATAGATGCCTCTAAACATTTAATGTCCATGTTACCTGGTAATATAAGTCAGTATTGCGGCGACACTCCTAGAAAATTGACCAATTTCTGGAGAGTTTTTTGGGAAAAATTTTGTTTAACTTTGACTCAGGCAGGGAATTATGGCATTATGGTCTACATGTAGAGGGAGATTTTGGCCTGTGGGTCTGGAAAGCAGGGTCATCTACTTCTCACCAGACTTTATCTAGGGCATCCTAGAATATTCCTGTCAGAATCCATATTCTTGCACTGAGAATAGTTATGTCCTTGTGCTATGACTGGACAGTGATTTGGTCATATGTGAAGTGTGAATTGCTTAATGTGACCTGCTTCTCTGAATTTATTTACAGAAAGTGAAAGTGATGATGAGGAAGAGGAAGAAAAAGGGCCAGTGTCTTCCAGGTAATGCTGTGGAATTGTGGGCTGTTACTTCAGTAGTGACACCTGGAGATTGTAGATTGAGGGAAAAAGGGGAGGTGATGAATAGAACTATTTCTTCCCTTCACCCAGCTACAAATGGTCCTTATTAACAATGTTGTGTGTTATTTGTGGCACTTGTATTTGTTTTAATTTCATAGTCCTCTCAATATAGGCACGTGCAATCAGATCAGCCTGATGAATGAGACAAACAGGGATTTCTTGTTGATCTTTTCAAAAAAATCATCTACTGGATTCACTGATTTTTTGAAGGGTTTTTTGGGTCTCTATCTCCTTTAGTTCTGCTGTGAGCTTAGTTATTTCTTGTCTTCTGCTAGCTTTTGAATTTGTTTCCTCTTGCTTCTCTAGTTCTTTTCATTGTGATGTTAGGGTGTCAATTTTAGATCTTTCCTGCTTTCTCTTGTGGGCATTTAGTGCTATAAATTTCCCTCTACACACTGCTTTAAATGTGTCCCAGAGATTCTGGTATGTTGTGTCTTTGTTCTCATTGGTTCTAAAGAACATCTTTATTTCTGCCTTCATTTCGTTATGTACCCAGTAGTCATTCAGGAGCAGGTTGTTCAGTTTCCATGTAGTTGTACAGTTTTGAGTGAGTTTCTTAATCCTGAGTTCTAATTTGATTGCACTGTGGTGTAAGAAACAGTTTGTTGTGATTTCTGTTCTTTTACATTTGCTGAGGAGTGCTTTACTTCCAAATATGTGGTCAATTTTGGAATAAGTGTGATGTGGTGCTGAGAAGAATGTATATTCTGTTGATTTGGGGTGGAGAGTTCTATAGATGTCTATTAGGTCTGCTTGGTGCAGAAATGAGTTCAAGTCCTGGATATCCTTATTAAGTTTCTGTCTCGTTGATCTGTCTAATGTTGACAGTGGGGTGTTAAAGTCTCCCGTTATTATTGTGTGGGAGTCTATATCTCTTTTTAGGTCTCTCAGGACTTGCTTTATGAATCTGGATGCTCCTGTATTGGGTGCATATATGTTTAGGATAGTTAGCTCTTCTTGTTGAATTGATCCCTTTACCATTATGTAATGGCCTTCTTTGTCTCTTTTGATCTTTGTTGGTTTAAAGTCTGTCTTATTGGAGACTAGGATATGAACCCCTGCTTTTTGTTTTGTTTTGTTTTCCATTTGCTTGGTAGATCTTCCTCCATCCCTTTATTTTGAGCCTATGTGTGTCTCTGCATATGAGATGGGTCTCCTGAATACAGCGCACTGATGGGTCTTGACTCTTTATCCAGTTTGCCAGTCTGTGTTTTTTAATTGGGGCATTTGGTCCATTTACATTTCAGGTTAATATTGTTAATGTGTGAATTTGATCCTGTCATTATGATGTTAGCTGGTTATTCTGCCCATTAGTTGATACACTTTCTTCCTAGCATTGATGTTCTTTACAGTTTGGCATGTTTTTGCAGTGGCTGGTACTGGTTGTTCCTTTCCATGTTTAGTGCTTCCTTCAGGAGCTCTTGTAAGGCAGGCCTGATGGTGGCAAAATCTCTGAGCATTTGCTTGTCTGTAAAGGATTTTATTTCTCCTTCACTTATGAAGCTTCATTTGGCTGGATATGAAATTCTGGGTTGAAAATTCTTTTCTTTAAGAATGTTGAATATTGGTCTCCACTCTCTTCTGGCTTGTAGGGTTTCTGCCGAGAGATCCGCTGTTAGTCTGATAGGCTTCCCTTTGTGGGTAACCGTACCTTACTCTCTGGCTGCCCTTAGCAGTTTTTCCTTCATTTCAACCTTGGTGAATCTGACAATTATGTATCTTGAGGTTGCTCTTCTCGAGGAGTATCTTTGTGGTGTTCTCTTTATTTCCTGAATTTGAATGTTGGCCTGCCTTGCTAGGTTGGGGAAGTTCTCCTGGATAATATCCTGTAGAGTGTTTTCCAGCTTGGTTCCATTCTCCCTGTCACTTTCAGGTATACCAACCAAACGTAGATTTGGTCTTTTCACATAGTCCCATATTTGTTGGAGGCTTTGTTCATTTCTTTTTACTCTTTTTTCTCTAACCTTCTCTTCTTGCTTCATTTCCTTAATTTGATCTTCAATCACTGATACCCTTTCTTCCACTTGATAGAATTGGCTACTGAAGCTTGTGCATGCGTCAGGTAGTTCTTGTGCCATGGTTTTCAGCTCCATCAGGTCATTTAAGGTCTTCTCTACACTGTTTACCCTAGTTAGCCATTCGTCTATTCTTTTTTCAAGGTTTTTAGCTTCCTTGCAATGGATTCACACATCCTCCTTTAGCTCAGAGAAGTTTGTTATTACTGACTTTCTGAAGCCTACTTTTGTCAACTCGTCAAAGTCATTCTCCATCCTGCTTTGTTCCGTTGCTGGCGAGGAGCTGTGATCCTTTGGAGGAGAAGGGGCACTCTGGTTTTTAGAATTTTCTGCTTTTCTGCTCTGGTTTCTCCCCATCTTTGTGCTTTTATCTACCTTTGATCTTTGATGATGGTAACCTACAGATGGGGTTTTGGTGTGGATGTCCTTTTTGTGGATGTGGATGCTTTCCCTTTCTGTTTGTTAGTTTTCCTTCTAACAGTTGGGTCCCTCAGCTGCAGGTCTGTTGGAGTTTGCTGGAAGTCCACTCCAGACCCTCAAACAGGGATTTCTTGGTGTTGCCTGTTCTCTCCCATGTGTTTAAATCCAGAGAGAGATGTATATATGCTTTCTGCCTATTTGTTGTTAGTATGTTTGCTAGTATTTGTGCAAGAAAAGAAATTGGAAAAATAAACATATTATATCAAAATATTGGAAAAATGGGGCCCTTAATACACAAGCTGTGTGTCTGCACTGCCTCAAGAGCTCTGTTCACTTGAATGTCGCATGCAAAATTCAACCCAATTTATGCAAAGTAGTTGAAGCCCTGTGTTAGTTCTCTGTGCTGCAAGTCATGATGGTAGTTTACAGGGAGAGTCTGGGTGCCTTGCGTTGGCTCATCTGTGGCAAATATATTGAGCATGTGCTGCCCATTTTTGTTCGGTCCCCAAAGCAGTCACCCTCCACCCTGCATTTAGAAGGATAGTTTTATTTCTCTTGAAGGAAAAATGCCTTTGGTTTCTGTGACCACTCCATTCTGTCTCCCATCAGATCATCTGGGGGGTTTTGTTGTCTAATCTCTGTTGGTTTAATCTTCTGTCATCTCTGTCCTGCCTGGCTCATCAGGAATCTGCAGGAGTCTGAAGAGGAGGAAGCCCCCAGGAGTCTTGGGATGAAGGTTATTCGACTCTCTCAATTCCTCCTGATATGTCTGCCTCGTACCAATCTTACAAGAGCACCTTTCCCTCATTAGAGGAACAGCAGGTCGGCTTGGCTCTTGACATAGGCAGTGAGTACTCCATTGTGAAGGTGATAAAGCTCCAGTTCATGTCCCAGGTAGACCCCATAATCTTTGGGCCTTGTACCCCTGGCTGAGCTGAGAGTTGCCATCACTGTGGCCCGAACCTATATATCAATGTAGATTTCAATCACTCTGGAGTTGAGTCTGAAGCACAGGCATGGGGTGGGTCAGTGAGCTTTGCTCTCTTCCTAGTCTCAGGCCATGCCCTTGCCACCCTTGACCGACTGTCAAGACATTGAACTCAAGGCAGGTGTGGCGAACTCACACCAAGCTCTGCAGCACATGCCCAGGAGTTGTCTGTCAGATCAGCTCATCTGAATTAAATGTCTCTTGCCAGCTACTAAGTTCCTTATGAGTTTTGTTCCCAAAGCATGTCTGTGTGGTTCTCTACCTGCCCAAGGCCAGTGTCACCCTTGTCTACCTCTCAGTGGAAGATGTGACCCAGGTTTCACTGAATTTATCCCCATTTTCTGTGTCTTCTAAGTTGGCTTGTTTTAGCTCATCTGTCCATCTTCTTGCTGGTATGTTTTCCAGATAAATGACTGACTTTTCACCTGCAAAACCATAATAGCTGATGCTTCTGTGTAGAACCAAGTCTTATTTTGACTCAAGAGCTGGTACATTGCACTCCTTCATAAAATCTCAGTGTCCCCAATCTCGTAAAGTATCAAATCCTGGGTATTTGATGAGAGAAGCCTGAATATTGTAGTATTTCTACTACGAGGTCTTAGAACTATTTGCCTAAAATCTACTGGGAAAGACATTGCTCATTTGTACACACACCTAGGACAGAGCACATTGGAAGATAACGTTCCAAACAGGGGAATTTTGCCCAAGGCTCATGAAAGGAACCAAGTTAGTTCTCTCAAGACTTGACCTCAGGCCTTCTGTTATATTTCTCTCAAAGTCTCCTGTTCTCACACTGAGAAGACTGATGTCCCTGTGTTAGGATTGGACAGAGGAATGTTTCTGTGTGCAAGGAAGAACTGCTTAATGTAAGAGGCCCTATCTGAATTATTTGCAGGGCATCGGTGGGATCAAGTGTAAAAGGAGGACGAAGAGGCAACATGTCCCAGGTGAGTCTGAGAAATTGTGGACAGTTAAACTGATGTTGACATCTGGAGATGCCAAGTTCAGGGATAACAGAACATGCTGAAAATAATGATTTCATCTTGTCAGACAAGTCTGAATTACACCTACTCACATTGCTTTTGGTTCTCATTACAGTAAGTGTTTAGGTTTCCATTTCTTCCTACCCTTATCATTTACTAACCTAGTGAAGGTTGACCATACCTCTAAAGCTGTATTCTCATGGTGACTGCCAGGAAACGAGCACATTTTATGCAAAATTATTGAGCACACTCTTTTCATCATCACTGTTCACTGTGTGTCCTGAGGGCACAAATACAGAGTGTCCTTGACTCCCTCATCAGTGTGTCACCTGGCCAATTCACTGAGCTCTCTCTCTCTCTCTCTCTCTCTCTCTCTCTCTGTGTGTGTGTGTGTGTGTGTGTGTGTGTGTGTCTTTCTGTTTCATCCTTTTTTACCTGGCCCTGGTCTATCCCAATATAAAGGCAATAGTTTGTTACCTCATTCATGGATCTGTCCTCTTTCTTTTCAAATACTTCCTTATATTACCCATGAAATCTAGCTGGCACTGTGTGGTTTCTGATTCCCCCCTGGCTTATTCTTTACTTTTTCCTACTTTTCCAGGCTCAGCAGGGAGCTGCTGGATGAGAAAGAGCCTGAAGTCTTGCAGGACTCACTGGATAGATGTTATTCGACTCCTTCAGGTTATCTTGAACTGCCTGACTCATGTCAGCCCTATAGAAGTGCATTTTACTCATTGGAGGAACAGCACCTTTGCTTGGCTCTTGATGTGGACAGTGAGTACCTTTCTATGAAGGTGATAAGGCTCCACCTGGTCTTCCAGATAGGGGTGATATTCCTGTTCTAAGTGGCCCTTACTGACCTGAGAGATGTCATTGCCGCAGGCAGGACCTATAGGCACATATGGGTTGTAATGAAACTAGTTTCAGTTGGAAGCCCAGACATGAAATGGACCAGTGAGCATGGCTCTATTCCTAGTCTCCAGCTATGCCTGTGGCAACCTGAGCCCATTCTCAGCACATTGGACCCAGGCAGATGTAAAAAATTCACAGAACTGTGATTTGGACTCAAAGGTTTGTAGATTTCCTCCTTCATTCTAATTTCAGTGTCTAAAATTCTTGCATCCATGAACGAGCTGGGCATTTGATGAGACAGGGCTGAATACTGCAGTTTTCCTCCTAGAAATAATCTGGGACATTTTCTTTGAATTTATGGGAACAATAAGGCATAACTGTGCACAAACTTGGGAAAAATGATTTTGGGATAATGATCTACCAGAATAGGGATATTGCACCCTTGGTTCAGCGATGCAAACCAAAGAACCTCTATCATGACCGGCTTTCAGGCCTCCTGAAGTATGTCTCTCACATTGTCCTGTTCTCATGCTGAGGAGCCTGAGGTCCCCGTGTGGGGATTAGACAGTGGACTGTTATGGGTGTAGGTAAATTGGCTTATTTTGTTTGTCCTTGTCTGAATTTATTGCAGGAATTAAAAAGGACCAAGAAGAGGAAGAAGACGAAGGCCCACCATGCCCCAGGTAACTTTGAGCAATTGTGAACAGCTAATTCTGTGTTGACACCTGGAGACTCCTGGTTCAGGGAAAACAGAGCAGGCTGACAATATGGATTACATCTTTTCAACCAAGCCTGAATTATTCCTACTAACATTGCTGTTGGTTTTCATGACAGTAGATATTTAGGTATCCATTTCTTCCTCCCGTTATCATTTACGAACCTACTGTAGGTGGACCATACTTCAAAAGCTGTATTCTCATGGTGACTGCATGGAAACTTGAGCACATTTTATGGAAAATTATTGAGCACAGTCTTTTCATGATCGCTGTATGCTGTGTGTCCTGAGTGCACTAACTCAGAGTGTCCTGTTACTCCCTCATCAGTGTGTCACCTGGACAATTCACTGAGCTCATTTTTTCTGTCTCTCTCTCTCTCTCTCTCTGTCTCTCTGTCTCTCTGTCTCTCTGTCTCTCTCTCTCTCTCTCTGTGTGTGTGTGTGTGTGTGTGTGTGTGTGTCTGTCTGTCTCTTTCATTCTTTTCCATTTGGCTCTGTTGTGTCCCATATTGAAGGCAATAATTTGTTACCTCATTAATGAATCTATCCTTTTTCTTTTTTAACCACTTCCTTATGCTACCCATGAAATCCAGTTGAGGCTCTGTTGTGTCTGATTTCCCCTGGCTTGTTCTTTACTTTTTCTACTTTTCCAGGCTCAGCAGGGAGCTGCTGGAGTTAGTAGATCCTGAAGTCTTGCAGAACTCACTGGATAGATGTTATTCAACTCCTTCCAGTTATCTTGAACTGCCTGACTCCTGCCAGCCCTACAGAAATTTCTTTTACTCACTGGAGGAATAACACACTGGCTTTTCTCTTGATGTGGATGGTGAGTACCTTTCTATGAAGGTGATGAGGATCCACTGAGTCTTCCATATAGAGATCATATTCCTGTTCCAAATGACAGTTATTGAGCTGAGAGATGTCATTGCTGCAGTGAGGACCTGTAGGCACATGTAGGTTGAATGAAACTCTAGTTCTACCTGGAAGCCCAGACATGGGATTGGTCAGTGAGCATGGCTGTCTTCCTAGTCTCAGGCCATGCCTGTGGCACTCTGATTCTACTCTCAAGACATGGACCTGGGCAGATGTGACAAATTCAGAGAACTATGATTTGACTCAAGGGTTTGTAGATTTCCTTTTCCACTGTAATTTCAGTGTCTAAAATCCTCACAACCTTGAACAATCTGAGTATTTGATGAGACAGGGCTAAATATTACAGTTTTTCTCCCAGAAATCATTGGAGGGCATTTGCTTTAGATTGATTAGAAAAATATGGCATAACCATTTGCACAAACTTGGGACAAATGATATTGGGATAACGATCTACCAGAATAGGGACATTTTACCCACGAAGTTTCTGAGACAAAAACCAAGGAATCTCTATCATGACCAACCTTCAGGCCTCTGGAACTAAGTCTCTCACAGTGTTGTATTCTCATGCTGAGGCGCCTGAGGTCCCTGTGTGAGGATTAGACAGTGGATTGTATGTGTGTAGGGGAATCAGCTTAATGTGTCTGTCCATGTCTGAATTTATTGCAGAAATTGAAAAGTACCAAGAAGGGGAAGAAGATCAAAACCCACCATGCCCCAGGTAACTTTCAGCAATTGTGGATGCTTAGTTCTGTGTAAACACCTGGAAACGACAGATCCAGGGAGACCAGAGTGTGTTTGATTTCATGTTTTCAACGAAGGCTGAATTCCTCCTACTGACATTGCTGTTGGTTTTCATTGCAGTAGACGTTTAGGTTTCCATTTCTTCCTCCCCTTATCATTTACTAACGTACCACAGGTTGACCATACCTCAAAAGCTGTACTCTCATGGTGACTGCATCGAATTTTGAGCACGTTTTATGGAAAACTATTGAGCTCATTCTTTTCATGATCACTGTTTGCTGTGTGTCATGAGGGCACCAACTCAGAGTGTCCTTCTCCCTTATCAGTGTGTCTGTCACCTGGCCAATTCACTGAGCTCACTTTCTCTCTCTCTTTCTCTCTCTGTCTCTCTCTGTCTCTGCCTCTCTCTCTCTCTCTCTCTCTCTCTCTCTCTCTCTCTCTCTCTGTCTTTCTCTTTCATTGTTTTCTACCTGGCCCTGTTCTATCCCAACATAAAGGCAATATATATATATTTTTTTACCTCATTAATGGATCTGTCCTTTTTCTTTTTTAACCACTTCCTTATGTTACCCCTGAAATCTAGTTGGGGCTCTGTGGTGTCTGATTTTCCCTGGCTGCTTCTTTAGTTTTGTCTCCTTTTCCAGGCTCAGTGGCGTGCTGATGGAAGTGGAAGAGCCTGAAGTCTCGCAGGAGTCACTGATAGATATTATTCGACTTCTTCAACTTACTTTGAATTACCTGACTCATTCCAGCACTACAGAAGTGCCTTTTACTCATTTGAGGAACAGTACATTGGCTTGACCTTTGACATGGACAATAGGTTTTTTACTTTGATGGTGATAAGGCTCCACCCGGTCTTCCAGATGGGAGTCATATTCCCACACTAAGCAGCCCTTACTAAGCTGAGAGATGTCATTGCTGCAGGCAGGACCTATAGGCACGTGTAGGCTTGAATGAAACTGTAGTTCCATTTGGAAGCCCAGACATAGGATGGATTGTTATGCCCAGACCGTTTGTTCCCCAAAGAAGACCACCAGAGTCCAGAGTCAAAGCCAAGCGGCAAGGATCTTTTACTGCAAGTTCGAACTTGGTCCCTCCATTCCACGGCATACAAGAGGGCCCCGAACAATGCGAGTGCTTGCTTTTTTATAGCCTGAAAGTTACAGGGGAACAAAGAAATTCTTTTGGTTCCCACGCTTTCAGTAAAACTTCGAACGGCTGTCTCCTTATCGGAGACTTTCCAGGTGGTGTTTGTACTGGGCCCAGGAAGTTTGAGAGATATATGGAGATATGTGGTGGGATGGTTTGTGTTTGTACTGGGCTCAGGAAGTTTGAGAGATATATGGAGATATGTGGTGGGATGGGATGTGTTTGTACTGGGCTTGTTTGTTTTGAGCCCGGGGCTGAGGAATGTGCCTGATTCCTTTCATTCCCCCCTTCTTTTCAGGTATCTCTAGAGCCAATCTTGGGTCTTATAAGTCTGATTCTGTTTCATCGTTTACAGGTTGGTATTGGGCTCTGAGGACCATGAGTTGTACGGTGTCAAGCGTTTCTCTAATGAACCGCAAAATTCTGTTAACAACACAAGGTCCTACGGTAAGCAGAAATAGTAGACTCAGCAGGGGCCCAAGGAAGGGGGCTAACAGAGAGAACATAGATGAATTCCACCATTGGTCTGCAGCTGAAGCAAACTGCCGTGTTCTTACTTCTGTGCTTAACTTGCGTAACTGTTGGACCCGGTCCTCTACAAGCCCTGATTCATTTATGTAGAAACAACAGTCTTCCTTTAGAAACATACATGTACCCCCTTTTTCAGCAGTGAGTAGGTCTAAGGCCCTCCGGTTCTGCAAGGTTACCTGTGCTAGGGATGTGAGCTGCCACTGAAGGGAGGCAAGGGACTCAGCTGACTCCTCCATAGCAACGGCAAATTGTTGGTACAGCTTGTTACTTTCTATGAGGGTGTGACCTAGGGCTCCCCCCACCAGTCTGGCCGCAATGAAGGATGCGGTGAGGGAAATTCCTGTGATGAGGGGGAGAAATATGGCTCGTGCAGGTCTCGGTCTAGGGACTGGGCGAATAGCAGTACTGGTCCAGTTACCGGTGTACCCTAGGAACTCGCCGGCGGTAAGTAGAGTCAAATGGGGGACTAATGTGACAGGAAGACACAGTAGGTTGGTAACAGAGGGACTAGATAGGTTCTTAGATAATGTTCCATTACACCAGAAGAATATGCCTGATGGAGCCCTTAGGGTGATATTAGGGGGCGTTGCAGTGATGCTGCAGAGGCTGGAATTGGTTCCTGAGAAACAGTAGGGAAACTTCTCCTGACTGGGGTTTAGGTATAGGGGCACGTTCAGGATAGGAGCATACGAGAGGTTTCGGTGGTTGTTAGCTTGGGCAGAGGTAGAGGATCCCCATGGCAGGGGGACAGCGGTTAGCGGTGGACGCCCTAGAGTGGCACACAGAAAGCAGCCAGACAGGCTGTGAAGTCCTGTAAGGTTAGCAAGTTCTAATCCTTCTTGTAATAATTTTAACCAGGAAAAAGGATGTAAATCTTGTGTCAGGTGGTTTTCTTGTCGCTGGATATTTCCATGGACCAGGGGCCATACCTGCACTAGACCCCGCCACAGATAGAGGTGACTGCTAGGCCATGTGGAGGCAGAGGAGTGGTATACAGCCCCGTGTTGAGGCGTGGTCCAGTGGGAGTTTCAGGGGTCTCTAATTATCCATGTATATGAAAGGTCTTCATCTCGTCTATGATGGAAAGACCATCTGGGATCTAACTGTTCTTTCCCTCCCCACCATTGGAATTTATGGACGTTACAATAGTTATAAGGGCAGCCGGCATTTTGGTGCCACCAATAGTGCTTACAATGGTATTTAGTCTGATCATACTCGAAGCATATCATTGGTGCCACTGGTTTGGCTATTCGGAAGTCGGTAAAATTTAGTAAAATTGGGCTATTGCACCCTGAGGAGGGGCAATCTGCACTGGCCACTAATTTCCCGGGCTTATGAGGTTGCCCAGGGTGGGTTTGGTTTTCATAAAGCCAGAATCTCCAGACAAAGGGATTAGGAGCTGGTTTTATGTTTTCCCCAGGGGCCACTAGGGCGACTAACGTTAGAGTCAGACTACCTAACTGCATGTTTGCAGTGAGCTATGCTGTCGGTGCAGGGTGAGTTTTAAGGGGTTGTTCTTAGCTCTGTCCACAGTCCACGTGTCCGGTGTTTCAGCCGCCGCCATGATTGGCCCCAGAAGGTCGGAGGTTGGGTCCACTGGCTTGACGTGGGTGTAGTGGATCCACGACGCGATGCCTTCTACCTTCAGGGTGGTGGGTGTGGTCAGGAGTACCTGGAGTGGTCCTTTCCACCTGGGCTCTAGGGTCTCTAGTCGGTGTTGCTTAACCAGGACCCAGTCTCCCGGCTGGTACGGATGGGGTGTTGGTGGGGGACTGGTCTCATATAGCTCCTTCAGCTTGGGCCAGATTTCTTGATGAATTTTCTGTAAGGCTTGTAGGGAAAATAAGAGTTCAGAGACATTTTCTGTTTCAGACTTGAGCAGATCATCTTTTAGGCTGGGAACCAGGGGTGGGGGTCTGCCATACATGATTTTGTAAGGGGTAAGGCCTAGTCTGTAAGGGGTATTACGGGCCTGGAACAGAGCATAGGGGAGAAGGACTACCCAATTAGCGCCAGTCTCCATAGTCAATTTAGTTAAGGTCTCTTTTAAGGTCCGATTCATCCTCTCTACCTGTCCTGAACTCTGGGGCCTGTAAGCTCAATGTAGTTTCCAGTTTGCCCCAAGGATGGAAGCCAAATCCTGACTTACCTTAGCGACGAAAGCGGGCCCATTATCTGACCCTATCTGGACGGGGAAGCCATACCTGGGAAGGATATCTTCCAGAATTTTCTTTGCTACGACCTGAGCAGTTTCTCTTTTGGTTGGGAATGCTTCAGTCCACCCTGAAAAAGTATCTACAAAGACAAGTAACTACCGGTACCCATACTTCCCTGGCTTTATTTCAGTAAAATCTACTTCCCAGTAGATACTGGGCCTGGTTCCCCTGAGCCTTGTTCCTGTTGCAGCCTGAGATTGGGGGTAGGCGTTGTTAAGCTGGCAGACTTTGCAACTTGTCACGATGCTGCTGGCCGTCTCAGCTATGTGTCTGATTTTGAGCTTGGAGCGTCTGATCAGGTCTATCATCCGCTGGGCACCCAGGTGGGTGGTTCGGTGGATGTGTTCTAACACCTGTTGTCCTAATTTTTCTGGTAGGATGGTTTGGTCATTAGTATCAGTCCACCACCCATTCTGGATCTGTTTCAGGGGAAGTTTGTCAATCCACTGGAGATCTTGTTCTGAATACTCAGGGAAATATGGCAAGTCCCGGGGGCCCGGGTCAGGGAGCTGGAGTGCAAGGAGTTGGCTGGGAGCCTTTGCCACATTCCTTGCAGTTTGGTCTGTCAGAAAGTTGCCTTGAGCAGTTGGACTGGTTGGTTTCTGATGCCCTGGGCAATGCACAATGGCTAACTTTTCTGGCCTCCATAGGGCTGTTAACAGGGCTAGGATCTCTTGCTTGTTTTTTATCTCTTTTCCTTTAGCCGTCAGTAACCCTCGCTTCCTGTAAATGGCCCCATGTATATATGCCATTGCAAAAGCATATCGGCTGTCTGTATATACTGTCAGCTTCTTCCCTGCCCCTAAGGTAAGAGCTTGGGTGAGCGCTATCAGTTCGGCCTTCTGGGCCGTTGTCCCTGGGGGCAGGGGTTCCGCCCAGATTACCTCAGTCTCTGAAGTCACTGCCGCTCCAGCGTACCTCTGGCCTTGATGCATGAAGCTGCTCCCATCAGTGAACCAGACGAGGTCGGTGTCAGGGAGTGGGCGGTCCTGCAGGTCTTCTCGAACTCCGTGCACCTGAGCTAGTATCTTGGTGCAGTCATGGAGGGGGGCGTCCAGGTCCGGGTTGGGCAGCAGCGAGGCAGGGTTTAAGGTCGTTGGGGGCAGGAAAGTTATCCTGAGAGGATTTAGTAGTAGTCCTTGGTAGTGGGTGAGCCGGGTGTTACTCATCCATCGATTAGGTGGCTGTTTGAGTACACCTTCGATGGCATGTGGAGTAATGACCCGCAATTCTTGACCCATGACAAGTTTATCAGCATCTTGCACCATTAGAGCTGTGGCCACAATCATTCGGAGACAAGGGGGCCACCCGGCAGCTACTGGGTCTAACTTTTTTGACAGGTAGGCAACTGGCCTCTGCCAGGGGCCTAAGTTCTGAGTTATCACCGCCTTGGCGACACCCTTATTTTTGTCCACGTATAAGTGGAAGGGCTTGGTAACATCGGGTAGTCCCAGTGCAGGCACAGAGAGTAGGGCGGTTTTAATCTGTTGAAAAGCCAATTCGGCTTCTTCTGTCCAATTAAATGGCTGCTGCCCCCGTGTTGCCTGATACAAGGGTTTAGCCAGTTCTGCAAACCCAGGTATCCATAGTCTGCAAAATCCCGCCGACCCCAGGAATTCCCTCACTTGTTGGGTGGATTGTGGCCTGGGGATCTGCAGAACAGTCTGCTTCCGGGCATCTGTTAACCAGCGCTGCCCTCCTTTTAGCAGGTACCCCAGATATGTTACTTCTGGCTTACAGATTTGAGCTTTCTTTGCCGAGGCTCGGTAGCCTAGGTTCCCCAGAGCTTGTAAGAGACCCTTGGTCCCTTGGATGCAAGCTTCTTGGGTCTCAGCAGCAATCAGGAGGTCATCAACATACTGTAGTAAAGTTATTTCAGGGTGTTTACATCGGTACTCACCCAGGTCTTCATGGAGGGCCTCATTGAACAGGGTAGGAGAGTTTTTGAATCCCTGCGGCAGCCTAGTCCATGTCAGTTGGCCACTTATGCCCCTCTCAGGGTCATTCCACTCTAAGGTGAAGAGCTTTTGGCTCTGAGGGGCTAAAGGCAAACTGAAGAAAGCATCTTTTAAATCTAAAACAGTGTACCATTGATGTTTAGGGTTTAGGGTACTCAGGAGGGTATATGGGTTAGGCACAGTTGGGTGTATGTCCACAACCCTCTTATTGATTTCTCTTAAGTCTTGTACAGGTCTGTATTCTCCACTATTAGGTTTTC